AAGATGAAACACTACTAATTGGAAACTGGTTTACAATTCAATTAAACTCTAGAATAGAAACCAGTACCTTTTGTTTGCTAAAATAACTGTAGTCCTTTACAAAGTAACATGAAAATGAAACATTTTATTTTGACGTGATTTAAAAAAATAAAAAACATAAAGATCAAGCATATGCACATTACGTTGCTATATTTATCGCGTTTCTTCCTTATTTAACGAACCAGTTTCCCTCCGTCACTTTTTTTGGAATCTCTCTCTCTCTCTTTCTATCTTAGTTGGTGATTTCGTAACAAAGTTACGTTTATGGTCTGCAATATCCGAGGTTGGTTGGTTGGTTGGTAGTTGCATGGTAACAAAAGAAGAGAGGAAAGAGCAACGATGAAAAGCGATTTCTATCGACTCGCAGTTTCATCGCACTTCAGCAGTTTCCCCAAATCCTTCTCTCTGAGAAAGAAAGTGCCATGGTGGTACCAAATCCTAAACCCTCGATCCAAGTTCGTGGCCAGATGGAACCGCACCTTCCTCTACGTCTGCATCGCCGCGCTCTTCCTCGACCCTCTCTACTTCTATTTTCCCATCACGGGGGACAAGGCCTGCATGCAGACCGACCTCGTCCTCGGAGTCTTCGTCACCTTCTCCCGCACCGTCGCCGATCTCTTCTTCCTCTTCCACGTCGTCCTCAAGTTCCGCACCGCCTACGTCGCTCCCAACTCTCGCGTTTATGGCCGCAAAGAACTCGTCACAGATCCTCGTGACATCGCCTCACGCTACCTCAAATCTGATTTCATTATCGATCTCCTCGCAACCCTTCCTCTTCCTCAGGTAATTCCTTTCTTTTCCTTTCTCATATGCCTTCGACTATTGAAGCTAAGAAGGACACAAAATGGATGGAAATTAAAATTTGTATGTGATTTAATTTCATTGTTTTCAAATTTTGAAAGGGGTATTTGATATAGTTTGTTTCTTGGACCTAATTAATTACAGATAGTGGTATGGTTCGTGATTCCAGCGGTGAAAAATTCTACAGTGGCTCATGTAAATCATACTTTATCTTTGATTGTGCTCATTCAATTCATTCCTAGATTGTTTCAAATTTTTCCTCTTCAACGGAGAATCTTGAAGACCAGTGGACTTATTGCCAAAACTGCCTTGGCAGGAGCCTTATACAATCTTGGTTCCTACATGCTCGCTAGCCATGTAACTATTCATACCCACTACTTCCATTTTTCATACATTCTGCTACATTTTTTGTTGTCAAATTTCATTGAAAAATGCAAAAGGAAATGAACAAAGTAATAAATAGATAAAACTTAATACTTTTGTTTATATTTTGAAATGTTGACGTCAGTGCAGGTTTTAGGAGCCACGTGGTATGTAGCTTCTATTCAGAGACAATACGAATGTTGGATAATAACATGCAAACAAGAGATGAACAAAACGCATTCTCCATCTTGTACTCCTTCGTTTTTGGACTGTGCTACTCTTGACCACCGAGAAAGGCAAGCTTGGTTCAAACGCACCAGAGTTCTCAGTAATTGCGATGCCCTCAATAACAAAAATGAGTTTCAGTTTGGACTTTTCGCTGATGCTTTCACCGATCACGTTTCCTCATCAAGATTCGTCCAAAAATACTTCTACTGCCTCTGGTGGGGTTTAAAGAATCTAAGGTACTTTCAGGTTTTTTTTTCTACATTTATTAGCAAATCTAATTGTCTTATTATCAAAGTAGGCAAAAAATTTAAAATTACATTTTTAGGCCAGTCATGCAGCCCTCAACAACTTCAAATGAAGAAGTTGTACATTAGTTCTGAATTATTTAAAAAGGTAAAGTCATACGTCCCACACATTTTAGCATATGTCCCACACATTTTAGCATATGTAATTGATTATAATAAACTATACTCAATTACATAATGCTGAAATCATTAGAGTGTCTGCGAGTTTAATGTAATCAATTACTTATTGTAATCGAGACTAGTGCATGTAATTCGAATTAGAAAACATTACAAGACGTTGTAATTGATTAGTAATCAATTATCCATGGACAAATGGATATATTAAGATATAAAATTCATCAGATGATAAAATGTCTAAAGTATATTTATATTGACCGAATTATTTTCTCACATATATTAGTTATTTCGATAATAAGGCAATTAGATTTGCCTATAAATGTTAAAAAAACGGTACTTTCGTCTTCCATTTAGTTTACTCTTTCCATATTTGATGTTAGATATAATTTTGGTTTGAGATTGAAGACATCATTTCGTCGTTGTGAACCCCTGTTCTCATGTGCAGTTCATACGGACAAAATCTTCAGACTAGCACTTACAGTGGTGAAACATTGTTTTCAAGTTTCATATGCATCGCAGGTCTAATCTTGTTCGCGCATCTCATTGGTAACATGCAGGTAAAAAATATTACAAACCCTATTGAAACTCAATATATTTTATTATTTTCAATCATTTTAGTCTGTAATAAAAAATGGTTGAAAGTCATACTAACAATTTGGGTTGATTTTTCACTTTTTGAAAAAAGAATTATCTGCAATCTACAACTGCTAGAATTGAAGAGTGGAGACTTAGACAAAAAGATACAGAAGAGTGGATGAATCATCGGCAGCTACCACCAGAACTGCAACAAAGGGTTCGACGGTTTGTTCAATATAAATGGCTGGCCACCAGAGGAGTAGACGAAGAAGCCATTTTGCGTGCTTTGCCCTTGGATCTTCGCCGCCAGATTCAGAGGCACCTCTGTCTCGACATTGTTCGTCGGGTAAGTATCTTCTTGTCACTTCAAAACAACGTGTGTGTGTGTGTATGCATGTGAATGAAACATTGCTGTTTCAAATGGATTTTTTCGTGAAATATATTTGTGGTGGTGTTGATTGATTCAGGTTCCATTTTTCGGGCAAATGGATGACCAGCTTCTGGACGCAATATGCGAGAGGCTGGTGTCGTCACTGAACACGAAGGACTCGTATATCGTGCGAGAAGGCGATCCAGTGAGGGAGATGCTCTTCATCATCAGAGGGCAGGTGGAGAGCTCCACCACCGACGGTGGCAGAACAGGGTTCTATAACTCCATCACCCTCCGCCCGGGGGACTTCTGCGGCGAGGAGTTGCTCACGTGGGCCCTCATGTCCTCCTCCAACCTCAACCTCCCTTCCTCCACGCGCACCGTGAAGTCCATCTCGGAAGTAGAGGCTTTCGCGCTCCGCGCTGAGGACCTAAAATTCGTGTCGAACCAGTTCAAGCGGCTCCACAGCAAGAAGCTGCAGCACGCCTTCCGCTACTATTCGCATCAGTGGAGGGCATGGGGGGCCCACTTCATCCAGGCGGCGTGGCGGCGGCACCGCAAGAGGAAGCTGGCGATGGAGCTGCTGGGGAAGGAGAGCCTGTACTACACGAATGTGGTGGAGATAGTAGAGGAGGATGATGATGATTGTGATGCAGGTGATGCTGGAGGTGGTGCGGGTGAGAGTTCGAGTGGTCCCAGCGTGGGTTTTCAGAATCTTGGGGCTACCGTTTTGGCTTCTAAATTCGCTGCGAACACCAGAAAGGGAAAGATTAAGACGGTGAAAATTAATCTTCCTGATTCTGATAGTTTGAAGATGCCCAAGATGTTCAAGCCTACGGAACCCGATTTCTCCACTTTCCATGATTAACTCAGTATATGTATACATAATTATGAGTCATAGATTCATTCCTTTTCCTTTGTATATATCTAGTCCAACACAATTAATCATCCTCATCCTATAGTTTGATGATGCCAATACGAAACCCATTTCTTGACGTTCCATGATTAACTGAGTATCCATATATATGGAGAGAATTATTTTGACACCAACTTTTGTAAATTCGAACACCGTGATTCATAATAAAATATGAATCTGAAAACTATGTTCTTAGGAGGTGGGACGAGTCTGAAAGGTTGCCAAAGTATTATCCTGTATACGACTCAAAGATTGAAGCCTTTTCTGAAAATGTTGTTTTACTTGCACCACCACTAAACAACTCACTTTTAATGATATTTTAATTATTAAAAATATAATTTTTGTATTTGCAGAGAAAGTGAGAGATTAAAAGGATGTTTTAATTATTAAAAAAATAATTTTCGTATTTGTAGACAAAGTATGTGTGGCAATCCTGTTCAAGCCCGATACAATTTTGTCCTAACAAAAATCTTGTGCCGAGCTGGCTCGTGGGATCTTGTTCGGAGTGGTTTGATACACATTGTAGGGAAAGTTTTTAAATGATATGGTTTCGGAGCCAAGGAGACCTGAATTTTTGTGAATCTTTTCATTGTTTATAAATGTTAGAATGATTATGTTAATGTCTTGTGTTATTAATCACAATATGGTTTGAACTATCTCGTTTCGGTTTATGTTGCAATTTTTCCGTAAAAGTGGGTAGAGTTAGTCTAATAATAATAATATAGTCTAATAATAATAATAACAATAAAGTTTAATAATATATTTATTAGAGTTCGGTCATAACTCGCGAGTCAATCCGGTCACCACGGGTTTGAGCCGGGTTGAGTTTGAAAAAATTGTATTTTTGTACGTGGATCAGATTTTAACTCAACTCATTTAAATTCGACTCATGCGGGTTGAATCCGTGATGGACCGGGTTAGCTAATAATATCTAAACATGGGTGACAGAGAGGATGAAGACGAAAAAGAAACAAATTAGATAAACGAGTAAGACGAATTAGGATTGATGATTCTTTCTGATTTTTTATTTTTTATTTTTTATTTTAATTTAAAAATAAATTTATTAAAATACTCATATATTTAAAAGGTATGTTTTTTTATATGAATGAAAATTTGTTTATCAACTAAAACTTAATACACGTTAAAATGTAGATGAAAAAACGTTTATATAAATTAATAAACCCATTATTTATATATATATATATATATTATATATATAATTATATATATCTATAATATATATATATATATATATATATATATATATATATATTTTAGATGTAGTTATTAGCGACTGCTCTTTCTTCATCAAATATACGCACTTAGGGTTTCGAAATAACTGCGGATTCAGGTTTATCAATGGCAACAGAACCAAAAGCTGCCACCGACGATGTCAAGATCGATCTCTTCGAAGACGATGATGAATTCGAAGAGTTTGAAATCGACGAAGGTAAATATCAGTAATCTCATCCTTTCTTTCGATTCCCGACTAAGTTCTCCTTGCCTCTGTTTCAATTTCCATTTTTTTGTTTATTCGTCCCAATATTTGTAACACGTTTTGAACTTTCACATCGATCTCAATTTGTTTTTCCAGTTCCTTGGCCTCTTACAAACCGAGTTTTTTTATTGGAAAAGTTGTTATTATCCGATTTTGGCTTTAATTGTTGTTTCCTTTTTCTTCTCTATTTATCTGCTGATATGTTCTTTTTGACTGTTAAAATTCTTTCAAACAATATGTTTTTGTGTAAGATTGGAGACAGTCAACGGATAATACAAACTATATGTTTATAAATGCCGAATTACTGAACTCCACATCTAGGTGGTTTTATTTATAGATGTTTAATGTATTGGTTATTTGTTTCTGATCCTTAGACACTTGAATTGAGATCATAAACATAGTGGACCTAATACCTGTTTTATGCAGTAGTTAATAGTATTTCGTACTGTGTTGATCTTTACTGTATTGCCGATGGGAGTAATCCTTTATAAGAGTAAATTGCATTGTTCGATTCATTGAAGAAACATATATTTCTAGTGAAGCTTTTGTGTTGCCATATCCTTGGTATTCCACACGATTCTGGCTTATTTCTTTGAATCCAGGGGAATATACCGATTCACAAAATCTGTCTCCTTTTTTTATGTATTTGTTACGTGGGGTTTTACTGTCTTTCAGTTAGAAAACAACGAAAAGTAGACCCAAAGATCCTTCATCCTAACCTTGCCTTTCTCAGGTCTAACTAGACATAATACACAGACAATCAAAGAGAATGCACTTATTTAAGTGTCATAAATCTAGAAATTCACATGAGGTAGGATTAGCCCATCTTCATTTGATGGAGCTCTGAGGAATAACTAATTGAAGGATTATAATGCACGTCAAGTACATGCCTGAAATTAATGACCATTTTGGTTTCCTTGAGCCTAGCAGAACTATAAGTATTCCAAGGTAGTCTAAATTGTAAGATACATCTTAAGTAGTTGGAGTTTGTTAAGAGTCCATGTAGAAAACCTCAACAAAAACTCTGTTATGTAGGATAGTGAAATCTGTTGCTTCATTTTTTTTTGTCCATTCGAACCCATCATAATCTCTTCACCCAACAAACTACATTTCATCTTACCAGCAATTAGAGCTGCCATCCTGACACCGTGTCCACAAAGCCGTTGCATTTCTGCCGCAAAGCAACATTACCTTCATTAAACCCACATCTTAAACCTACATGGCTTACCTTCCGACAACAAAGCTCCCTCTTTGTCTTTTCCCATTCTCTGGTAGTAGTATTTGATTTGCTTTTCTTGCCATTTCTTCTCTAGGTATTCAGGCAGTTTTTCTAGTATATAGCAAATATGAGTTTATTCAAGTAGCCACTGCGTATTCGGCTGAATCTTTCTATCATTTAAAGATTTATCTGCAATACTTCACACAAAAAAACACTTAAAATTAGTTGATATTTATTCATTCTTGTCTATAGGCTATTAAACCTTTGCACTAAAAATTCCTTTCCATGTCGGAAATAATAGTGCTCAGATTTGTATTAACAGAAGAAATGGGTGAGAGAGAAAGATGGACTCGATGAAAGGACTTTATGTTTACAGCAGATTTTAGGGGCTCTACCCTAGAAGCCACCCAATTTATGTTCTGTTTTCTTTATAAAATGTATAGAATATGGACTATGACTCATGGTATTAGAGTCTACGTTCCAAACATTGTTCGTCAATGTGGTTGGTTCTGTTTCTCGTTTGTAATAAACATTTGGTTCATTATTGTTGATGGTATTTGAAAGTTCTTTGGGTATAGAGAATGCTAATTCAACACTTGTTTAGGGTTTGGGTGTCATTCTAATGTTTCTTCTTTATGTTGCACTTTTTTGTTTTACAACTTTCAGAGTGGGATGACAAAGAGGAAGGGAAAGAAGTGGCTCAACAGTGGGAGGATGATTGGGATGACGATGATGTTAGTGATGATTTTTCTCTTCAGTTAAGAAGGGAGTTGGAGAGTAATACTGATAAGAATTAAACCACGTGAGACTTGGGTGCTTGATCACTTGGAAGGAGATCTATGCTTTGTTAGGAAGGAGATGTAAGAACATACGGACATAATTTTCTGTTCTTTCCTGAATATCTGCTTAGAAGTTATTGAGTGTTTGTACATTAATCAAATTCTGCATTATTAGGTGGAGTATGGCTTTAAAAGTTGACTTAAAACCTTGAATTTTTCGTTCTTATTTTCATTATGGGGTTGGGTAGGCGTGCTTTTTTATGTGAACCATTCTTGCTAATGGTGCAGTTAGTTGCACATTTTCTTGTAGCTCCCGTGTTCCAAGTAGGAACTAATCAATGTAAAGCCTGAAAACATACACTAATCGAGGAAGCACTTTTCAGATAACTTAATTACATACTTATCCGTTTTAGTTAAAAGAAAAATATAAAGAAAGGTACAATTCAGTTCAATAAGCTTAAATAAGTTTTGCTTAAACGCTCCCCGAGTTTGACATTTGTTCATTAGACAAAAATTGATGTGTTTAATTGTTATAGTTTTCATATTTTTAATCTGAACAAAACCATAAAGAACTTGTATTTTTGTGATTTTAGATTTTAGTTTTTCTAAGAAGTTACTAAATGATAACTTGTAACTCACCTACTGATGATTATTATTTAAATTATTTTAGGCTAATTTGACAAGGACGTGTAAAAGGAGATAAGGAAATTAAAATCGAGTTTAAGAAGAAAGTGTTTGATAACATTTTCAGGGCTGAATCAATGTAAATTACTACTTAAAAGTCTTTTTGATACTGACATACTACTAGAATGCTTGAGTGTTGAATATTTAAATGAGTTAACTACGTTTTTTTTTTAAATTATAATATGATTTTTATTTTTATCTATGTCTCAAACTATAATCTTATTAAGTTTTCTTACTTAAGAAATGCATGAATGTAGTCTTTAATGGTAATTGTTTTTTGGCATAAAACCCAATGAATCACATAAATGTTGACATGATGATAACTTGTGAATTTGTCATTTGTTACGTGAAAATAATTAATTTTGTTGGATGAAAATGACTGCTTAACATGAAATTTGTGATAAAGACGGACATCAAATTAACATTATAGTTCAAGTATAAAAACATAATTAACATTTTTTAAATTATTATTAAAACATAATAACATAGTAACTACATTAATATTCCACTAATATGAGGTTTAATAAACCAATACAATCTTCAAGGTTCATCAGGTTGAATCACCTAATAATCCAAGTTGACTGAATTCAATTTAATTAAATTAAATTTCATTTATGATTATGGTAAAATATGATCCAATATGCACCAACACACTTTTATATGGATTTAGTTTATGATGATTTCAGACCAAATTCAAAATTTATATTTGAGTTATGAACAAATTGTGATTTTTCTTCATATCTTAATTTAAATAAATTTATTATGACAACTTATTAATTTTGTTGAAGCTTTGGATTAGCTTTTGTAATTATATTATTTTTATTTATATTAGATTGAATTTAACATAAAACTCAAACAATTCTAAATCACCTTTAAGGAATATTTTTCTTATAAACTTTTGAGCAATGTTTGCATCCATTGACGCGAAAAGCAGCTATAGATTGCAGGAGATCCACATGATTTGTTTATTAATGATTGACATGGCTTTCCTGTGTTGTAAGTTGAATAAAAAACAGATCTAAATAAAAAATATTATAAATTACTTCCACCTTTAAAAAATTAGTAAAATACACATTTAAAACGTTTTACTAAATGTAATACTAGTCGTTTCTTTAGGGAAATTATTAGCAGTTGAAATTATAAAATGAGTTCGAGATACTCATACTTTAAAAAATACCGTGGTATCAAACTAAATTTTCGAGGCATTTTCCAACTTATCACCTATTAACATATTTCTTATAAATTATACATATTGCTTAATACGACTAAGATAGAATGTGATGATTTATCTATCAATAAGCATAGTGGAAACGATAAATCATAGGTATTGTAGATTTTCACTTAACAGTTGTTAATGGTCGTTGCTAAGAGCATTTTATGTCTATATACAATTGACGAAGTCAAAGACAAGTCACATGATGATGATTTATTCCTTGACTAGTAGAATATTGACAGCATAACAAAAAGTCTTAGCAATAGGAAATTGCAATTATCGACGGAATATCTTCAAACACCATTATCTATTATAATATCTATGCTTACTTAATTAAGACAAAGATAAGATAATGATTTATCTACCACATTACAAGATCAAGAATCGCCAAAAATCTGAACATAACAGTGTACATTCAAGTACCACAACCACATCACAGTTACTGCCCAATCCAAAATACAATGAAACAACCAGTAACAACAGGCAAAGCAACTTGTGTTGATAAGATAGCCCGAAAAAGACAAAAGAAACATTCACTATTTCGTTGGAGTTCATGTTCTCTGGTCTCAAAATCTGTCTGGAAGGATAAACATTTCATATAAACCAACCGAATAAAAAAAAGGGATAGTTCATGATTCAGCAATGAAATTACTCTGTTAATCTAACAATCAGAGCTAAAAATATGAAACACTGAAAATATGTGTCTCTGTGTGTGCGAGAACATTATTCAGATGAAATTTTGGGCACAAATTCACCTAACCAGACACACCAGACACAAAATAGGAGGCACTTTTGAACAGGTCTATGATGTTACAATTTCTACATTCTCAGAAGCATAACTTTGCTGTTCTGTTACTGAAAGAACACATGTTCTGCAAATGGGACAGATGGGTGTGTGGAGAATCCATGAGTCTATACAGTGCAGATGGAAGGTGTGATTGCAATTGGGCAACAACCTGCACAAATCACCAACCTTGAAACTCTCCAAGCAAACAGCACAATCGACAGGACTGCTGCACTCTCTTCTCTCTGCTGATACTGCTGCTGCCTCCTCGTACATAAAGCAAGGAAGGTTTTTGAGGTCGCTAATGTTGTCTTCACCCAACATTCTTTTCATTCCACTCATGTTCTGCCCCTGTTGAGTATCTTCTTCACCAGTATTGTTTCCTCTGAAGACTCTCCCCACTATGCAGACATGGATAACCACCAAAATCGCTATACCCACAAACAATATGATCAAAGAAATCACAATCTCCATCACTGTGATCTTGCCCAGTTTACCTTTCCCTTCGAACTTGGAAGGTCTGATTCTGATGAAATATGTTTACTCCTTAGAGACAACAAATTGAAACTGGGTTCAAACAACCACCGATTGTAGCAACGGTGAACCACTGGTTGCTTTCATCACAGCTCATATTAGATATATATTAAAAAATATACAGTTCAAGATTTATCATATAAAATACATACAGAGATATAGATAGAGAGATAGACACTAAAGAAGTAAGGATATTAATTAGAAGACTTGGAATTATTACTATCAATAGAAAAAATAGCAATAATAAAACTGAAAAGTTTTTGCTTTTGGTTGTTGAGTGGTAAGAACCTGAATCAAGTGGCGTCTATAATGTGAAGACCCAATTCAAAGAGTACTCAAGCTCACCAGAATTCAATTGATAAAAGTTATTTAAGTCTAAATTTTAGATTATTTGAGAAAGTTACAATCAATGGAAATTCATAAATTTATTATTTTTAATATTTAATTCAATCACTATAAACGTAGAAAATTCATTTTTTTTACATTACCTATTCAAAAACAAGTTTTTTTTCTGCAGGAAAATCATTAAAAAAAATCTTAAATAGATATGTATTATTATTAGTATGTAATATAAACGAATTATTTAGTGGTTGAGAATTTGAGTTTTGGGAAACTAAACTTAGAAATTATTATTATTGATGTTATACAATCGATGAAAGTTTAGTTTTCAAGAAGCTTAATTTTCAACAATAAGCATTATCGCTAGACGTGTAAACCCACTCAAAATTAAATCCTTGCAAAGTGGAATAATAGCGCAATCACTAGGAAGTTGGTGAGGCTTTCTGATTTTGTTTTCAAAATTTAATGAAAAAGAATTTTGATTAGTCTTTCAACACCTAAGACTCTATTTCATGTTGCAAATTCAACTTTTTAAAAATCCAATTCTCAACATGAATAATGAAAAAGTTTATTCAGATAAATAATTCTTTACAAGTTCATTTGTACTTTAACATAGACTACTAAGGAAAAAAGGGCAAAAAGATATTTGTAACAACAGTTGATGAACACTAAAAACAAGTTTGTGAAAGTAGCCAAGGATGGTGACAAATAGGCACTCTGAAAGTAGCATTATATCCCTCATAACTGTGTCAACGTCACGAGATTAGCAAGGACCATTCACAGATTTTATATCAAATAATATCTGACACGTAGTTCAACAACATAATATATCATATTAATGATGCACAAAAAACGTTCATAGTCATATTTAACTTACCACCTACTCTATTTTCTCCACTATATTTCATTGACATATTATTGTATTTGGATGAAACAATTTAAAAGAATAATTTATTTATTTTAAAATTTTAAAATATTTTGAAGTAAAAATGTTTGGAATTTAAAACATAAGATACTTGTTTCACGATTTTGAAGCATATCATATTATAACATTCATCTTAATGTTCACACAGTGAATGAAAAAATTGAAAATATACAAGGTAATAATTACATCAATTTGAAATTTCATAAACAATTACTTGTAGAGATGTGAATTTAATCACTTCACCGATTTAATTTTAGTTTATATGGATAGAGGTTAAATAAAAGTCACAAGAGTAAAAACAAATTCCGTTTTATATATGATCAAGATAATAATAAAAGTCTCATGGATTGACATGTGCAAGTCGATTTTAGGTTAAGATAAACAAGATATTGTTCAACTTAGATTCAAGGAAGACTATGTCTAGGTTAAGTAAAGGTTGATAGAATTGAAGTCAAGTAAGATATATCTTATGCTAAGTCGAATCAGCTCAGACTAAAGAATTGAGACGAGTCAACCTAGGTCAAAGGTTTTGTCGAGCTGACCTAGCTTGAATGTTAAACAGAGTTGGTTTATACCAAATTTAAAATGAGTCAGCTAGACAAAGGTCGAGCCGAATCAACCTAGTTTGAAGGTTAAGCCGAGTTGGCTTGAGTAAAGGTCAACTCGAGTCTACTCACGTTGAAGGTTGACCTAAATTTGCTAGGTTAAAGAATCAAGTCTACTTCGGCTAAGTTGAAGGTTGAGTTGAGTCAACTCGGATTGAGCAATCCTGACCAAAGGTCAAGCCAAGGCAAGTAGGCCTAAGGTTGACCCAATTTGAGTGAGCCAAAGTATTGAATTGAGTCAGTTAGATCGAAAGTCAAGCTAGTTAGGACCAAAGGTTGAGGCAAGTCAATTTGGGCCGAAGGTCAACTTAAGTTAGCCGGGGCCAAAACTCAAGGTGAGTCTACTTAGGTCCAAGGTCAACAATAGTGAGTACGGGCCGAAGGTTGACTCATGTTAGCTCGAGCCTAAGGTTAGAACTGAGTCATCCCTAGTGGAAGGCAGGGTAGAATTGAGTCATCCTTGGTGGAAGGCTGGATCCTTCAACTTGGGATAACTCGAACGACCTTCAACCTGAACCGACTCTTCTAGACGTTCGACCTAAACTAAATTATCTTGACCTTCAATACAAATTGACTCAATTTGACCTTCGACATAGGTTGACATGACCATACTCAACCTTTAGCTTGGACCTAAAGTCATGCATTTAGAAGTTAATTAAAGTATTGTACCTTCTCTATCTGTATGTGCACGCGACATGTGTATTTTTGTGTGTGTGTGCAGTGTGTGTGTCATTGAAATTAGAGGTGGAGATGCGAATGGAAGGCACCATTGCAACATGGAGTAGCTGCCAAGAACCTTGGGAGAGTCCTTGTTTCTGATCTATGGTTTCAATTTCTTCCATATTCTTCAATTTTGTAAACCTTAGGTTGTCCACTACCGAGAGCTAAACCTATTTATTGATAATAGATGTAATAATTTTATTTTTGCATATTTTATGATGTTAATACATATGTTTTTCTATTTCAATGTTAGTATTTGATTTCTATGCTTAATTTTTTTGTTGGTTTGAACATCCATGGCTTGATTATGATTCATTAGGTGATGGAAAATGTCTTTTGAACTATAACTGAAATTAAGTACCTAATGGAGCTTGTATATAGGATAGAACATGATTCAGTAGCAATCAATGTAGATGCCACTTGGAGTAGGAGCCAAAATAAGGGAAGGATGAAGTCGCCACTTGAGTTGAAGGCACAAGATAATATTCTACTTGAGAGTAACCCTCAATCATTCACAAAAGCAGCAAAGTTTTTGTACTACTAATCAAAGTTGAATATAAAATAGGTGAACCATTAAATTAGGATCTCTATACCTTAAACATGTTGCGCATTTAACATGTGCTCAATGTTGGTGGTGTGACTCCTTTCTAGAAGCATTCCTTTGCCTTGCACTCCAAGTGAGCAAATTATTTGCTCTTGATCTCTTCTTGGGCCAAGGAACTTCTGTTGTGACTCTTCTAAGCACCTTTGCTCCCTTGCACTACAAGTCAGTCATTGTGTGCTCTTTCTTAGGCTAAGGCACCCTAATGTGTTTGCCCACACCTAATGACACCTTTCCAATTATTGCTTGAACCTCCTTTGCTAATGGTATTCTCTAAAGATTTGTACTCATAAAGTTTTACAATATCCTAAATATCTCGCCTTAATCCATGGGTGATGATGTTCTCCTTGCAAACCCCTTCCTCTCCCTCCCTTCCTTAGAAACCTTTTCTTTTTTAGCCTTCCATCTTCCTTTTCATCCCCTCCACCACCTTATCTTTATCCAGTCCTTCCATGATGGCTTTCTTCCCCTCCCTTGGGAGGAAATCCTAAACCAGATAAATATTACATTCAGGGGGAGTAATGTAATATTAGGATATTGCATGTAATAATGTTTATTTGATGAAATATGAAATAAAAATTTTATGACTTAAAAGTGATATATGTACTCTAATATAATATATGTGTGTGTGTGTGTGTGTGTGTGTGTGTGTGTGTGTGTGTGTGTGTGTGTGTGTGTGTGTGTGTGTGTGTGTGTGTGTGTGTGTGTGTGTTTATGCTTTACTGTATAGATTTGTGTTTATTCTGCCATATAAAAGATATTTATGTTCTTATATATGTGTGTTTTAACTGTGGTATATAAAAAACACTTATGCTCTAATAATATACACGATTCTCTTTGTTGCTACATTTCATATCATGCATAAACTTTAAAATGATTAGACGATATAAATTCTGATATACGAAAAATTAATGATATTTTGCTCTAGTGAATCATATTTCGTTCTAATACTTTCTTATTAAAAAGCAATAAAATTCTGATACAAGGATTTTGACATACGCACTAAAGGAAATTTTTGAAATGTCACATTTGCTTTGATAAAAGTTAAACAATTCAGAGGGAGTTAGGAGTAAGGGGGAGCATACTTAAAGTATACATTGTTTACTAAGATAAAAAAAAACCCTAGCATAACCATACGCCTTCAAAATCAACTTGAAATATATTTCGTTTAGCATGAGTATTTGTTAAACATAAAAAAAATGAGATTAAAGAAACAAAAATCATCTAAAGAGTAAATTGTGTAAGCAACCCAAGTTTTGAAGTTTAACAAACAACATTACATGAAATATTTTTGCTTAGGAAAAGATGTTCAAAATAGTAGTGCCTAATGAAAAAGCACTTTATAAGATCTGAAGCTAAGAGCTGAAGTAAGGCATGGACACTTGCACTCTGTTGTTCAGACCATTAATCAACTTTTTTCTCAAACAGTTTCTTATTTACACGTATTCAATTCTAATTAGAGTAAGTTGAGAAAACACCTATTCTAGAACATCTACCCACATATGACTCAAAAGATCAAATAGTTAGACTCCAAAATTCAATTCCACAATTAGGGGTGGGCAAATAGAACTGAACTGTACTGTACTGCTAAAATCTGTACTGAACTAAAAACTAGTTTGTATAAACTGAACTGAGCTGTAAAACAGTTCAGACAAACTGAACTGAACTGTTTTTTGTTTTATTAAACTGTATTGAACTGAACTATACTAAATTGTACTAAAATACAATATAAACTAAACTGAACTACTAACTATACTAATTTTAAACTGAACTATACTAATTTTAAACTGAATTATACTAATTTTAAACTGAA